TGGACGACTTACGAAACGCTGCATCTGAAAATGCAACACAAGAATTCAGAGCATTCTCAAAAACTGTGCCCGGGAATGGATTCAATCTGCAAATAGCTAATTATATGGAATATCACATTACCTAAATACATCCTACTCCACCGGCAGACTTGAATGTTCAGCAACTGGGCCGTTGGAACACCTAGTGTTCGCGGTGGCCGACTGAATCATCCTATCGACCTTGGCAATTTCCACTGATTATGAGGACCTTTCGAGAAGTGGTCGTGCCTCCCGCCACAACTTGACGGACTTGTTGCGGTCCCCGTGCCTTTCAAATATTTCACCCATGCTGATCATGCATTTGGCTCTCCATGTGAATGTCCATCAGAATAAATCTGTACAACGAGGCAGAGAGGAGACTGAGAGCCGTTTCATCATCCCCATCAGCTGCAAATATGTGGCGCGCAGTTTTGCAAGTTTTTTTGTAGAAACAAAAGTTAACAATTGGAGGCGCGAGTATAGCGGGGATCTTATGGATTCCGATTCGAAATTATCCGAATCAAAGGTAGGAGTGACATGGATCACATCACATGGCCGTGACAGGACGCGTCTCCCCACGCCGAAAGATTTTCACAAATTTCTCCGAATGTTTTCCGTGTTCGCTAGGGTGTGCAAGAAGGAAAGCAATGTATTCAGGATCGAATACACGTGTAGACGAGAACCACGCGAGCTCGGGGTCATCATACCAGCAGCCAGCTGTGCCGCTCCATCTTCACCCCGTCCGTGTCAGAGAAGAATCGACCATCATGCGCCCGGGAGGCAGGCAACACGGAGCGCTCGCAAACAATTATCCGAGCGACAGCATGCCAAACGTCCACTCGAAAGTTAGCGCAAGCACCGACGCAAGGTCCACGCCAGCGCACGAGGTTAGATTGCCAGCGCACGGCAGTGCCAATCATAGATGAAGTCCGCAGCCCGCCGGTGCGGAAACGGAAAAAAGAATCAAGAAAGAAAGAAATCCACCGCACACACACGGCGCCGGTGGTCTCGCGCCAGTCGCAAGAGGAAAAGGAACGGCGAGAGGACGCACCTGTGACCTATCATCTAATCTACCCTTTCAAGTTTCCACCACCGGCGCTCTGTAGGACCTGGCATCATCGGCACCCCAGCGGGATCTGCGAGAAGGGATGCGTGAGGAATCTGGAGCTGGGAGGGGGTAAGACGTACCGACTACCGCAAGGTGCTCTATCCACCACAGTATCCAGCCACTTATGTACGTCCTCCGCCGAATCCTACCCCACCCTCCGCGACGGCGCTTCTCGAGTATTGGACCACCCCACCTGTATCCCCTTCGCGGCCGACACGCCCTGCCTCGAACGGTTTGGGGGTGGCTTCGGTACACCTCTGTCACGGGTACAACTCTACGCGGGCAGCGTTCCCCGCGACTTCAGCCTCTCTTCCGCTCCCGGTCGAGAGACGCTCGATGGCAATAGTCTGGAGCCCAGGGCGAGTGCGGGTAGGGCACACAGAAGGCGGTGCGTAGGGATTCGCGCGCGCGATTGAAGGGCGGCGGCGACGATGGACGGATATGAGCGCCAGGCGATGAAGAGGTCGCGGAGGAAGGGCGGACAGGGTGCGACATACGTCTGTCTGTCCTGGCGTGCCCGTCCTCGCATCTGCAGCGCCACGGCCGCGCCGAGCGTTCCCCGCGACTTCTGCCCCCCTTCCGCTCCCGACCGAGATACGCTCCATGGCAATAGTCTGGAGCCCGGGGCGAGTGCGGGTAGTGCACAAAGAAGGCGGCGCGTAGGGAACCGCGCGCGCGATGATGAAGGATGGACGGATATGGATGCCAGGCGATGCAAAGGCCGCGGAGGAAGGGCGTGCGTCTGCGCCCACCGCCCCCGCATCACGCCGCCAAAGCGCGCCTGCGGCCACACACCATCCCTATCCCTCGCCCCGTGCTCGTGGTGGCAGCGTCTGCGCTCGTTATGTCGACGCGGAATCATCTGGCCGCGTCTTCATCCACCGCGTACCAGCGCTGCACCTCTGCATGCATCCGGTCCTCGTCCGCTCCGCGCATCTCCGCGTCGACGTACGCCTCCGGCTCGCGTTTGCGCCCCTGCCTCCCGGCATCTGCGCATCCGCATCTGCGCCGCGACCTGCGTAAGTATCGTATCCGCTCATCGTCCCGTTATCTGCGCTCCCACGGCCCCATTCCCCAAGACCGCTGTACCACATATCCAGATCTGCGCCCGGGCATCCACCCCTCGTCCGCTCTGCATCTGCCCCATCCTTACCCGTGTCCCATTGCCCGCGTCTGGCGGTCTTGGTTCCCCGCCCACGAGCACGCCCCTCACGGCGCAGGACACGAGGGCCCCACGCGCCCGTCGACGGCGAGCTCGCCGAAGAGTGGGCGACGGGCGGACGTCTAGCCATACGGGTACTGCGAAGTGGGGAGGGAAGACTTCAGTGTGTCGAAGGAGAGCATGACGGAGGGGAGCTGGGACAGGATAGGGCTTCGTATGCCTAGGCGAAAGGAGGGCAGCGTCTGCGCCCATAGGTCGTGTGTCCGTATCCCCGCATCTGGCTTCGCCCACGAGCACTGCACGAGCACGCCCCTCACCGCAGGACACGAGGGCCCCGCGCGCCCGTCGACGACAAGTTCACCAGAAGGAGGCGGGAAGAATGGCGAGGGCGTCTATTCATACGCGGATGGCGAAGTGGGGAGGGAAGAATGCGGTGCGTCGAAGGAGAGCATGACGTAGGGATAGGACGAAGGAGGGCTTCGTATGCGCGCAGGCGGAAAGGAGGGCGGGGGTAGCTGCGTCTGTGCCCATCGATCGTGCGTCCGTATCCCCGCGTCTGGCTTCGCCACGAGCACGCCCCTCCGCACAGGACACGAGCGCCCCACGCGCTCGTCGATGGCGAGCTTGCCGAAAGGAGGCGGGAAATGGGTGAGGGGCGGCCGTCTATCTCATACGCGGATGGCGAAGTGGGGACGGAAGAGTGATAAGTCGAAGAAGAGCAGGACGTAGGGGAGCTGGGACAGGAGAGGCGAAGGCGGGCTGCGTATGCGCCTAGGCGAAGGAGGGCGGGGGGTGGCTCCATTTGCGCCCATCGTTCGTGTCCGTATCCCCGCATCTGGCTTCGCCCACGAGGCTCACCGCACAGGACACGAGGGCCCCACGCCCGTCGGCGGCGAGCCCTAAGAAAGGGAGGCGGGAAGAGCGGGCGAGGGGCGGACGGGAGAGGGAAGACTTTGGTGCGTCGAACGAGAGCAGGACGTAGGGGAGCTGGGACAGGATAGGACGAAGGAGGGCTTCGTATGCGCGTAGGCAAAAAGGAGGGCGGTGGGGGAGTGCATGGATCCCAGAAAGGGGCTAGCTGTGCGCGTCGAAAATGGCTGCTACCCGCGCGCGTCGAGAATGGCTGCTATTCGGACGGGACTGGTAGACGCAGCAGCTTGTCAGTCTGGTGGAGCTGGAGGTAGGCAGGAGACGCGTACCTCGCCTCGCCGGGTCATGACCTGGACACGCTGTCGTTAACGTGCCCGACGCCCGCTTCCCCGCGCGGGGACCGAGACACTCTGCGCTGCGATCCGGATGCGGCTAGGCTAGGAGTGGGACTAGCTGTATCTTCGCATTCGCGGGGCAGCGCGCGCCGCGTGGAGTGGGCATGGGCGTGGGCGTGGGCGGTGGCGCTGGGTTTATGCAGAATGGACAAAGGGTGGTATCGACGAAAGGTAGGGCAAGAGCAGGAGAGTGGAAGATAGAGGGAGGAGGGGCGTAGCATGGGAGGGATGGGCAGTGGGGGTCGCCTGCAAGTGGCAGCGAGCTAAGCCATCCGTTGGCGCCGGTGGTACGCGGAGCGGACATCTCTGATATGAAGGTGCACGGGCTACGGACTAGTAGACGCAGCGAGTTGTCAGCGGTGAGGGGAAGGGAGTTAGAGAGGGAGACACAGACCTCGAGCTTGCAATATCGTCCACTCGGACACGCCGTCACGCAGCTCCGACTCGGCGCGCTGCAGTGGCCGCTCTCCGCGCCAAATAGCTCGCGCAGGGCGTGACGTGGCGGGTGGAAGCATGTACGCCGGAGAAGCACTGGCACTGAAGTCAGCGTGGAGCAGCAGGAGGAAGACGTCCGAAGACTTGCCTCTCGCATCGAGCAAGCCCTGACTGGGATCAACTTCAGGGCCAGCAACATGCGCCAGGCGGTGGTTGCTACGGTGGACGCGCCGGGTCTGAATGCTCCTCAGGCTAGACGAAAAAGGAGCAGGAGGGGCCTAAGGACGGGAGAATGCAGTGGTCTTCCGCGGACAACTGAAGTCGGGCGTCGGTATTGACCATAGGGGACAGTCTGCGAGGAGGTTCGGAGCACGCAATCTCCGACAAAATAAGATCGGAAGACAGAAGCGCGCTCACAAGTCAGACGTGCAAGTCCATTGATCTGGGCATAGTGCTAAGTACTGACAGATGCATAAGCTGCGGATCTGGCCTAGGTCTGGGAAGAGCTCACTACGTCATGCGATGAGATTCATCGCCTTGAATCACTGAGTACTTGAGGTTCGTGTCCAGTGGCCGGCCCAGTTCTCAGATCATCTTCCGCTCAATTTTAGGGCGGCCCTCTTGGGGAAAGGGGGCAATGGCCGGGTCCCCATCCGAGTTTGAACGCAGATAGTCGATGATGAAGCGCACGAAGGAAGGCAAAAACGAGCAAAAGGTAAAGCAAAGGTAAAGTAACGATGAAGGAGAGATGTTTGCGCATGTATGCCAAAGGGCTCCCACCAGCAAGCACGATCGACTTCCGACTCCCTCAAGACTTCCATGAACGCAACTTGAACGTTTAACGCTCACCTGGCAACTCCATTCTCCCATTGCGGCCGGCGACACTGTCGCGCTCCTCATTCTTCGGCCCACTCAATTTTCCGCTGTTTCTCTGACACGCGGCACCAGCTTGAGCTCCGAACTTCCCTAAACACCACTAGGCTCTTGTCAGACTTGGATAGTTCTCCACCACGTCTTCGTGGATCAGCTGGTAGATCACTTCTGACTTAGTACTTGGATAGTAGCGCAATAACAGAAGAGTCGTGGGTTCGAACCCCGCCGAAGACATAACCCAACATTCGTCCATTGTTTTTTCCACCTCCCTCCAAAAAAATAATGTTAATGGGATGACTAGGGAACGTAGGCGTTTTGTTTCTTTTTCCGGTGCCGCTTCTCTCTGTATTTTTTTTGCCTTCCTCGTGGCTGATTCTCCACTCGTCCGCCGATTGGGAGAGAATTGGTGCAAGGCGGGGTGGTACCAATGCAAATAAACTCCACCCTCCGATTTTCGTTGCGTGATAATTGTAAAATGAAAATGTTGTGGACTGTGGCGAACGGAAAGTGCATTCTGAGAAAGCAACGCGAAGATCGTAATCTGGTGAAGGGAGAGAGGAATTTTGAACCCGCGAGTGAACCGACCCGGGATCTGAAAATGAGCGGAGTACCTGGTAAGCATTTCTTACCACTTCAACAGGTTTTAACTAAGGTCTTTGTGCATCAGCTGGTAGATCGCTTCTGTCTAATCATTTAAAAGCGGGCGCAGCGTGGGTTTGAATCCAACCGAAGACATTCCCCAAGAATCAGAAGCTTTGTCTTTCTTCTTCCGGTGCCGTTGCGCTCTAGTTTGCCGTCCTCGTATTCAACTCCAACTCGAGGACTGTGCGGTTGATTCCCTCAGCGTTCATCCGCCGAGACCTGGATAAGACATGTATTGAAATCCAGTCAACGTTCTCTTTTTCGTCCACTAATTAATATTGTAGGAAAAAAGAAACACCGTTCTGAGGAGAAAGCAAGGGAATCCAAATTGAGGTAAATTTAACAATCAAACGCGCGTCTAGTCGGTCAAGAAATTTAAACGGGGCGTAATAAGACACACCAGAAAACAAAAATTCAAACTCCTCGCGCACTCCAGTTATAAATCACGAATTGTACCACAGTACCAGTATGCGTACGGCAAAGTCCGTCCCACATTTCTTTCCACTCGTAGGCAGACTGGTTACAAGTCTACATTGAACGGCGCACATCCCTTTTTGCACTCAGTCTGAGGTGTTTTCAACTTAAGTACCTCCAATCGGAGTCGGCTCCTTCGGAGAGTCTCCCTTCCTTTCTGGCCCAAAATCACTGCGTGAAAAAATTCGATTCAATTGCGTGGAACAGATTCGATAACGAGGAAACATTCCGCCGATGATTGGAGAAGTTCTCTTATCTCGGGACCGGCCGCCTATTTTCGATGCGTTTTTCCTTTCGTCCAATTACTTATCCTCCGGACTGTCGATGTTGTGGGCACAACTAATTGGTATTCAATAGTTTGAATTTCTGAGTTCCGATTTGTTCGGTGCTGCTGTGTTGACATTGATTGTCACTGCGGCCGGCCCCGCTCGGCCCGAACTGTGTTCACGGCATCCACTGACGACTCTGACAAACCCCGGCCTTCAGAGCTTGAGGGAAAGGGAAAGAATGCACCACTGCCTGGAGATTCCGGAGGTAGTTCACTTGGTCTTCTCCAAGCTGACCCCAGTTGGTGCTGGTGCCAAGGATCTCGCTGCCCTCGCGAGAACGTGTACCACATTCCACGACATCGCGCTCGATGCGCTGTGGTGGTACCAATACACGATTGTCAACCTCATTCGTTGCATGCCTGCCGACCTCTGGGACACGGTACTCGTCCACGGAACAGACGCAACTCTGGTGAGGGATCTCAGGACATGTACGTACTCATCATGAGCTGACCCTCGCGGCAGCGACTCAGCCGCCCCATTGTGGCCTCGGATTGGACCAGATTACTTCACTACTCGCATCGCATCAAGAACCTCACATGTGGCGACCATCCGATGTACCCGAACCTAAGCGAAGTGTTCGAGAGACTTCGTCTGGGCGTCCCCGGGGACGATTTGCTGCCCAACCTCGAAACGCTGACGTGGGATCACTATGGCGGGATCCACCCCTCCCATATCCACCTCTTCCTTGGACCACGGATTAGAGCGATTCATCTCGGATACTGCGATCCCGACACCGAAGAGGCTGTCCTCCCCATTTTGGCGCGGAGGGTACCGACACTCCGCTCCGTGGTCATAAACATTCTGCAGCTGGAGATAGGTGAGAACCGCCATCCGCATGTCTCTGCCTTCCTACAGGCGTTGTCTCGAGTACGGAGCATTATGGTTTCTAACGGCACTCTCGACGCAGCGGCCCTGCTCCATCTCGGACAGCTCACAACGCTCGAGAAGCTAAATATCATCCTCCCGGATTCGATGTCCTTCCCGGGAATCAACGACGGAACCTTGTTCAGTAATCTTCAGGCGGTGGCGCTCCACATTGGCAGCGTAGAACTGCTAACGACCTTCATGCAAACGTGGGCCAAGCCTCCAATCACCTCCATTGAGCTTTCCTCCACCGCCTATCCGGCACCTGAAGCATTCGAGGAAATTTACACACTGCTCGCGGCACGCTGCGCACACGAATCCCTGCGATCCTTGACTCTGCAAGTCTTCGAGGCGCCACCCAACGCCACAGACCTGTCCATTCACTCGGGGACTTCTTTCCAGCACCTATTCTGCTTCGCCAACCTCGTATCTCTCTCGATCACCGCCCTCATCAAGCTCGACCTCGACGACGAAATGATAACTGACATGGCACGCGCCTGGCCGCAGCTCGAGAAGCTCGAGATCTCTACCTACCCCTTCCATCGCCCGCGCAGCACCCTTCTCGGCCTGCATGCCCTCGCGCAACACTGCCCCCGCCTCCGCAAACTCGAGATGCTGTTCAATGCCTCGATCGTACCCCCTCCCCCTACACCATCGGACTGCCGTCTGGTTGTGTTGGAGGTCTCACGCTCCCCCATCGCCGACGCCCTCCCCGTCGCCCGTTTCATATCCGCTATTTTCCCCCATGTGAGAGAGGTCACGACCGATCTTGACGGGTATGCTGCCGCAGATGATGACGGTGGACAGGAAGCGCTGGGTTATCACCGGCTTTGGATCGAAGTGGCGGCACTCCTTCCGGGTCTCGGTGACGAGTCGCGCGCGGAGTAGGCTTGATCTCGTGCCTATAATGTTGCGGCGATTAACATCTATACATTCACTTCCTGGGTGACTTTGTTATATGTCCCTGACGATACTTGCTCAGTTGACCACAATTCTCTCGCGCGAGGATCTATCCATCTTATTACTTACTTCGCTTCGACTGGGAAGGCAGCATCGGTGTGTAAGGAGCGCGCCCACCTCTTATTTCAATCTAAATCAGTGTAACGATTCATTTCTTGGGTCTGCCAGAAATTCGTTCATTCGTCATGTAGCCAATATTCGTCCGAACGCAAAATTAGCATGTAGCTGCACTGAAATACCAGTTTCAGCGACCGCTCGGGGCTCCCGAAGCCACGCCAAAGTTGTGTTTCGATGATTGCTGAATTTAACTTTGATTGAATGAGCCGAATCCCGGAGAACAAAGAGTGGAGTTCATTCGGAACAAAGGTATATATAAACATGAGGTGTGTGCCCGCAATGTATAGTGCACAAAACTCAATCTCGCCAACGTCGAATCTGTTTTTTTCGGCCGGGTTCTTCTATGGTGTACTTGAAGAGCCCGCCTCCGAGTCTGCCTTCTGCTTTTTTCCAGGAACGGAAAATGGTCAGAAAACCCTAATTTATCGACACAATACGGAGAAGAACCTTGAAAGAGATCTCGTCCGTGTCATTGTGAACTTCGGAGACGGACGAAATATGAACTTCCAGAGGGCGGACATTGCGATGGTCTGCCTCGTGGGGGTTCTTTGGCTTAGCAGCCTCAAAGGGAAGGGAAGGAGAACCGACAATCCCATCAGTGCGGAAGCGGGTTCGGCCGTTGAGGCTAATGCACGAAATGAGAGCCGTCAAACGAAAAAATTGACAACATACACCGCCAGCATGGAGTTCGAGAACACTAAAAATACACAATTAGTGCGGCTCTTCAATAAATTATGCGACTCGTGCTTACACTTGGGTTGAATGAGATAAAAGGCCATGAAAGTCACTGTTGGAGTTGTTAGTCTGGTAATATATCGGAATTATAGTTCCACCTACAATCGGTGCCAACAAGGAACTGTTCGAGTCATATAGATAAGCGGAAAGAGTGCAAGATCTGGGGTGAGACTCACAAGGACGAGCTGAATGATGGTCGATACACTGCAATAAATTTAAAGCGCTGTGATGTTTGGGATCAACTGTCAGCTTGCCTGGTGAGAACTGTTGTTTCTGAATAACCGGATGAAATTTTGTGGCTCTTCAGATTGAAAGACGCTTACCGAAAGTCCAGAGCATGAGCGTATCCACCGTACTGCGTGTTCTTGATCGGGAGATGAGAACGTGAACCACGAGGGACTTTTTTTATGAACGCACTGATTCAGTGCGGACTTTCCACGCCGCCAGAGATGGTAACACATCGCCAGAGCGATCAAAATGTCCCCCGAGGGGCCGAGCGTACATGCTAGTATGACTTCCCAATGGACTTTGGACTGCAGCCCTGCATAGCCCATGTTGTATACCCAAAAACTGGACATAACAAGTATGTTGCACGTAAAGCGCAGAATCGCCAATACTATGCACAGGAAGAAAACGTGCAGGCGGCCGGATAGCATTCGAATGCGGTTCCCGAAGAAGATCTGCGTGGATTGTTAGTTCTCTCGGGTTGCATCGGCACAGATGCACACCTGAACCAACGCGTCTATTGCGCCGTCGAAAAACATCGCCACAATATGCGAGTGGGGTGGGTTGAGTATGATTTGGCTGGAAGGTTGGCCGTAGAATGTGACAGTCATCTCGTAAATCTTCCTCGGCTCAGAAGGGCACCCAGGATGTCTGGAGAAACTACTCACCCCTTGCTGAATCGGACATATTGTATGGGCGAGTTCGAACAGCCTGTGCACTGATCAGTACATTCGGCTTAAAGTATTGTAGAATGTCGATGATAACCAGAGTATAGCGATCTGTCAGCAGCAAGGTCTTTAGGTCGCCTGCGCAGAATTGGATATAAAAAAGTGTCAATACCGTGAGCTTGAGAGACTTTGAATCTCTTGGAAATTGGCGGTAGTAATT